TATCAGATTGATACTGATCAAAATGGATATCAAAACAGGTGATCAATGACAGAGAAGGAGAAAGAGAAATCTGATCTGTGTTAATATACAATGTACCTATGCTATGTAGAAAGTTTGTGCTGATTCCGACTTAAATTTTTTAAGTTGTGGACATTTTAAGAAATCAGCCAATTTCTAAAAAATTCCTGGCTCAAAAATCACCCCCTAATTTTTATTACATTTTCTGATGCATATTGATGTACTTACATGTATGCTATGTAGAAAGTTTGAGCTGATTTTGACTTGAATTTTTCAAGTTATAGCCTTTTTAAGAAATCAGCCAATTTCTGAAAAATCCCCTGCCCATGGTTTTTTCCAAAAAATGGCTCAAAAATCACCCCCGATTTTTATTACATTTTCTGATGCGTATTGATGTACTTATGCTATGTAGAAAGTTTGTGCTGATTCCAACTTAAATTTTTAAAGTTGTGTCCACTTTAAAAAATCAACCAATTTCTGAAAAAAAACCCCTGTACTATAGCCCATGGTTTTTTCAAAAAAATGGCCCAAAAATTACCCCCAATTTTTATTGTATTTTTTTGATGCATATTGATGTACTTATGCTATGTAGAAAGTTTGAGCTAATTCCGACTTGAAATTTTCAAATTATAGCCATTTTTAAAAATCGGCCAATTTATGAAAAAACTCCTGTACTATAGCCCATGGTTTTTCCAAAAAATGGCTCAGAAATCACCCCTAATTTTTAGTGCATTTTCTGAAATGTATCGATGTACTTATGCTATGTAGAAAGTTTGAGCTGATTTTGACTTGAATTTTTCAAGTTATTGTCATTTTTAAAATCTGCCAATTTCTGAAAAAAACTCCTGTACTATAGCCCATAAAAATGGCTCATAAGAATCACATCTAATTTTCATTTGTTTTTTTGATAGATTTTACTACATGTATAACTTACATCATTATTGTTTGTTATTAGGATCGGAGCTATTTTCTTCATTGTGATGAATCAGATATTTGGTAACTTGTCAGCCATTGACCTCTTTATAAGGCAGAAGCACATATTCATGTAAGAGGAAAAATGTATTCAGTACATTTCATTTTAATAATAACTGGTTTATGTTAACTGCCATTAGACACCATGTTGTGTAGCATTTACATGTACATGTACATGCATTCTTCTTTTACTTTCCACAATTATTAAACAATCTATATCTACATGTACATGTACATGTATTTGTGTCAACTAATACATGTATTAATTATGTCAAGATTCTAAATGTGCACAATGTACTATAGCTTTTATCCAGGCTTTAAGAGCAGACCTGATGCATGCATTTGTACACGTACGTGCACATGTATTGTACATCTACAGGTACATGTACATTGTACTTGTATTTGTTTCCAACTAACATTAATTATTATGTCAAGGTTCTGAATGTACATAATACATGTACATGTACTCTTATAGCTTTCATTTGACCTTTAATATTGATGCAAGCAATTGTATGTGCACACATGTACATGTACAATGTATATAACATGCACACATGTATATGTACATGTACACATGTACATGTATATATACATAGATTATTGTACAATTTTATTTCTATCTATAGTCATGAGAATGCCAGTAGGTTCTACAGGGTTTCCTCGTACTTCATTGCTAAGGTTCTCTGTGACATTATACCAATGAGAGTATTACCACTCTGTATATTCACATCAGTGACATACTTCATGATGGGTAGGAGAGAGAGAGAGAGGTAGAGAGAGAAAGAGAGGGAGAGGGAGGGAGGGAGAGAGGGGGAAGGAGATAGGGAGGGAGGGGCAAAAAGGAAGAGAGAGAAATAGAGGGAGATTGACTATAAAGCATTACTATAATAAACCAGAGACTACTTTCTTTAGCATTTATGCTTCAATGTCAAATTAGCAACTATTAAAATTAGCATTTTTAGGCCATTCACTAATATTGCTAAAATTAATAGCACACCTAAAATTACTACATGTAGTTTTACAGTAGTTATTTTTCTTTAATTTAGGTTTTCAAGTTGAGGTTGATAAATTCTATATCTATCTCCTTGGGCTCATGTTAGTTGCCATTGCTGCCTCCTCCTCTGCCTTTTGGGTCAGTGCGGGGTCACTGTGGCTGGTTTAGCTAATCTACTGGTAGCTCTCACTTATGTGGTACAAATGGTACGTAAGAAATTGAGCACATTTTTAGTAAAAATAACTTATTTGTATTGTACGATATAGTTCAAATACTGTATAGTGGAAAATTTGGAGGGAATTAAATTTGGCAAATTTGGCGTTTTGATAGCCATTTGCCAAAATAAAAATCTGTCCTTTCCAGCCATTATGCGCATGCTCAATGGCACGTGGCTACAAATTTGTTAATCACCAAAATAATTTTAGAAATTTGCCAAATTTAACTACCTCCAAAATTTTTTGGCTGCTATTGGTACACAACAAGT